AAAAAAAAAAAAAAAAAAGAAGAGAAAAGAAAGAGAGAGAGAGAGAAAGAGAAATGAAGGAGAGAGAGAGAGAGAAGAATATGAGTTTTCGAGATCAAAATTTTTGCACGACCAAGATTCGAGTAAAATGAAAGTGCACCTACAATGACACAGGAAGAACAAAAGGAGATATTACGAACAAAGATAGAATAGCGAGAAAATATGCGATAAAAGACTTTGTCTAATGAAAATCGGAGAACATGAGATTTCGATCATTCACACGTTTCTGAAATTTATATAAGTCTTGTAAATTAAGATATTATGATATTATTCCATTAATCTCTTAATACAATGGAATATATTATATATACATATTTTTTATTTTAATTTGATAATCATATTTCCTGCTGTTATCGCGTAACGAGTAATTTTCTATAAAGGAATATTCCCAAGTAATAATATAAGTAATTTTAAAAAATAAAGAAGAAAATTATTTTGAAGAAAAATGATGTCAAAAATAGATTAGGTACACGTGCACTTCTAAGTAATGATTTTAATAGACCTTAATGTAAGTAGGCATATCTCACTTGCTGTTCTTACATACGTTTATAAACATGGTTAATGTTGAACTTTATTAACATCATCGTATCATATTACTGGTTTATTATGGATTGCATATAAGTACCTATCGATTTATTGATTCTTATTTATCGATATTGCATGTTATATTTAAGTGCTCTTAATGTCACAATCAATTTTTTTGGAAAAACGATTTAAAAAAAATTATTATTTTATCTTCAATTTATTTTATTATAAAAAATCGTGATTGACATTATCAAGATGGATTTTACACAATATAACATATATTTTTTATCAAAATCTGAAGAATAATAAATTGAGAAAATTCATTCTTTGTATTTTTATCTTAGAATGCAATTTCTTTATTTTGTTTTTCTTATTATTATTAATCATTCAATTTTTTTTGAAATAAATGAATATTATTACCTCTTATAACGTTAATTACAATCTGATAATTATAATTAACGAAGCATAAAGTACTAAATATAAAAAAGAAATAACATGTTTTACATTAATTAATTACGAAAAAAAAAAATTCCTCCACGATTGTTTGAGATGAATTCTAAAATGAATAAATTACTATATAGGTTTTATGATGCAACGTGCTCGTTAAGAAGAAGAGAAATTACAAAAATTAATCATCGATCGTCACGTTTGAAATATCGATTTTAATCGTCGTGCATAAATTTTCACTTCGAAAGAAATCGGTCTGCACGAAAAATTTACGACAATTAATGCTGATTTACGAAAGACCACATGGCGTGCGTTAACTACTTCGAATTTATGGTCCATCAAACGATTTATGGGGTGAGATAAGAGGCGTAGCAACGATTTCGATCGTCCCATATTATTTTTATCTCGTAGCCTGTTTACAAACGCTAGGTAATTACGACTAAGTCGTATATACTATTACTCATGTCTATAGAGAGATACCGGTTCGCGATCTATAATAGGGGGTTGACCCGAATCGATCTAAAAAACGATGTAATCTTCTGAGGTCTCAATCAAGAGCACACGATTTCGAAACCCTTAAAATGCGATGAAACGGTTGGTAAATCGAAACGCGGAGAAAGGACTTTGACGCATGAAATGGAATCCTCTTGGTTCAATTGCTCTTTCGGTCGATGGTAATTATAGACGGTAACTGGTTGGTTCTTGAGAGATAAGAATTTCTCGGTGCTATATGTGGGAATAATTATTGAATGGAAATTATTAGATTGGTAAGAAAGTTCTGATATACATATTCTTTTCTCATAAAAATAATGATAATAATAAAAATAAATAGAAAAGTATAATTCTTTCCTATATATTTGTTTAGTTTGATGCTGTCAAATTTTTAATTTCTCTCGTTAAAATATTTATTTCACAAGGATCTGAGCAGTTCATGAATCTATTCATAGTATCTTCATCTGGCATTTACTCAAAATGTTATGTGTACGCTACACTTTGTCATTATTGTTGACTTAGTAAACGAGTAAAATTTATTTGTAAAATTTTACTTGTTTTTCATCTATTTTCATCCTTACTTAGTAGTATATCTTAGAGATATAGTACATGGGTATATCAAATGTATCGATACACGTGACTAGTTCTTAAGTTGCTTGAAATATAAAGACGTGTAGCGTAAAAGAAGAAGCATATATTTGATTATTGATTTCAAATTTTCTTAGAAGATGGTTGTTTGCACGGGATTAGGTTTCATCTATTCGATCAATCGAATAAAAAAATTATATGAAATTATAATTAATTGTTATGATGTGTCTTATCTGAATTCATGATTTCAATTATTCAATAAAATCGGACAAATAATTATCTTTCCCACAAATGAATTAATATTATTAATGATATTTTACAATGCAACAATGTTGTAGCATAAAAATAAATTTCATTACTCAAAAAAGAAAAACTTAATTGTGAAACAAATGAAGTCTAAATAAATTATCTAGTATCCTATATAAAACTCCTGTATAAAACTTATGTTGATAAAGGACAAAGAGAGATGAGGATGTATCGTATATTCATTTCTCCAATCATCTACAAGAGAGCACAATCACTTATTGAAAAATTGAAATTAAATTATAAAAAACAAACCTGTAAAAGTCTAAAACTTGTATCGCTTATTACTATATTATTAAAATTCAAAATTTAAAAATAGAAAAATAAAGAAAGAGATAATACTTTATGCAATTATAAAATGGAATCCTTTTTCGATCAATTTACAATTGATGATAATTCAATAAATTATTCTGTAAACCAGTTTTCAATGTCTTCTTATTTCGAGGATCTATATCCTCGCTCAAAAGTTTTAACAAATTTAAATAATAATTTTATGTTAATTTTAATTTTATTATAACATAATTGAAATTGCAAATTTATAAATATCCTAATGTGTTTAATAAATTAAGATTTTATAAAAGGCATTATAAGGCTTTTAAGCCGGAATATATTTCTTTTGACTAGATTTGGCTAATCAGTCAAAGGAATAAAATGGTTATCGTTATCGTGACTTAAAAAAAAGAAAAAAATATGAAGACTTACTTGTGCTGTGATTGGATGATTTGTGTGTTGTGTGTGCATGGCTGCCCTACTTGGCGGTGCGTGCAGCCAACAACACATTGCTGCACATATGAGAAGAGCGCCTGCTATTATGCAAGCAACACCGACATATCGTACCGGTTCGACGTAGTTCTCCGCGAGGCCTAACCAGTTTATCAATGCACCAACGCAAAGGAGAACCATCCCGTACCTGTACGGACGCTGCGAACGCCGCGATTCCTCCAAGGACATTGCTGAAATCGCAAATCAGAATACAGATCAGTTTTATGATTTTCCCCCAATATATGTTTTAAGTCAATGCTTCATTCGTGGTTGGGAACAAATTTTGGGGAGAAAAATCTCAACTTTTTTGGAGATCGTTGTTTTCCTATTAGGATAATCTAAGAATATATTCAGAAATGGAAGTATTAATTTATTTTTCTTTAAGAAAAAGTGGATAACTTTTATTTGAAAATATATATGATGAAAATATATATTCGAATTTTCTGATAATTTTAATCATAATATTATTGTTTAAAACATGAAAGCTTGGACTATTAAAAAGGACTAGAAAAAATAAATTTAATTATTTCAGATTTAAATTTTATAACAGTTAATATTTTCGAAGAATGAAATCGCATTTATAGAAAAAAATATAAAGTTTAATCTATAAATATTAAATTAAACTAGACAATATCATAAATAACAGCAATATTTACTCAAAGAAACAAACGTTTAAAGTTTCAAAGGAAATTTCAGAGAGAATTTTATTGTTTTATATTTCTTAGAATTTCAGAAATAGATTTGTGACTAATAAGTTTGTAGTAAAATAAAGAAAGAGTATATTTACTGTTAGATCATAAAGATGAAAGAAACCGCTTTTTGATTACTTAAGTAAAGTATAATAAACAAAATGTAATAAAAAAGCTTTCCGATAATGGGATAAACCTTTAGATATAATTAAAAATTATTTAAAGATATTTCATTTTCATAATTTGATTAAATTGATATATATATATATGTGTACGGAAAATACTGTTTATTTATAGTATTGGTCAATTTTAGAAAATAGAACTATATATAACCTCTGTGAGGATATTGCTACCTACTTTATTTCTAGCTCTATGATATTGATTTTTACAATACGTGATGACACTTTAGATAGTTATTTTTCTGAACTTTGTTTCAGATTAAACACAGTGATGGCTATATTTCGAACATAAATGAGAGAAAATAATCATGTATATATATATATATTTTTTTTTTTACTTTTTTATACAGTCAATTTACTCAATTGTCGAATGCAATAAATAAATAATATTCTAAAGAATCGAAGATTGATTTAAATTGCATATTTTTACTTATACTTTTATATATTCATATTTACATAAAAATGAGAGAAACTATTATTATCATTTGTAATATTTATCATACGGTTAAATAATAATTTTAATAATTCTTTAAATAATAATTTTTTTCTATACAAAATATCAAATTCACAATATGAAATATCAATGCGAATAATTATTTTTAACGATTAAGAAATTTTATCTAGCTTATCTAGATCGAAATCATCATGAATTTGAATTGATTTTGAAATAAAGTCTAGATAACAAAGTTCTATGATAAAATATTTATGATTCTGAATGTTATATACGTTGATCGTTATTCATACAATCAAAGTGAATATAAAACATTAGAATATCGTATTTTTGATACGTAAAAAGGTACGAAACTCATTCTTTAAAATGGGTTAGTCGAACAAACCAATTTTTGTTGTTCGGCGCCATCGTACACTAGTGACACACAATAAAATTAAGAATTACACGAACGATAAATAACAGTTTTAGAGAGAAGGCTAACCGTTCCAAAACGAAAATTTATTTCTGTCACAAAAGCGTTTATTACCCATCGTCACATAAAAAATCCAAATGATATTATTCCTGTTAAAACTGACATATCTTTTAATCAAAATATATTCTGTGTTTTTCACGTCTTCTCAATTTCATTACTTTCTAAATGACACGATATCATTCTATCTTTATCAATCTTTGCGATTATTATATATCTGTTATCGCACATGACGTATAATATTCAATACGAATGTAATTTAGTTTCGATTCACATGTTTGTTATAATTGTACCAACATGATATTATCCAAAGATATTTATGTTTATGAATGATATTTATCGTTATTTTATCAAATACATATATTCAACTTCGTAATTTATATATATATTTATTAATTTTTTCAAATAAAAAAATAATAAAAAAGAACTTTATTAAGAAGTTCGATGTTACTTAAAATTATTTAAAAAAATATTTAAATTTATGATTCTATGAAATTTTTTTAAATTTCTTGTAATTAAATAATAAATGGAATAAAAATTATCAAGAAGAATTCAACGAGTTGAATTTCGTTCAAGTTCAATGTTACCGAGTACGATCAAACATTTGGTATACGTTATTTGCAATTTAATTCAGATATGTATATTTAACTTCGTGACTTTCACGTTCTCTTACAGTGGTTTCGAATGAAAAATAATCTCGTGTTAATTACTCTTGATATCCGAGCAAACGTTGAAGTTTGCAGAAGTTCAATGACGCCGAACGCAATCAGCAAAAATAGCGCAAACACGATGAAATATAAATCGATCAGCAAGTTTGTTTTGAACGAGGAAATATATTCACGCGTGGAGTAAAAGGCTATAAATATTTTTCGAGAAAAAGAGAGGGAGAGAGAGAAAGAGAGAAAGAAAGAAAAGTAGGCTGAACGAGAGAATGAACATAACGCGAAGGTAGGCCATCTCGACATCGGCAATCGCGACGATCGATATCTGTCACTACTTTGTACCGCCATATGCTATTTTAGAAATAAAAACCGATCAAATATTAACGTGGCCATTTCGCTATCGCGAACAATGTCCTCTATCGAGGTGCCGATATTTTATTCTTTCGCACGAAATGCGAAAATTTCGCGTAATCGGAATAAAAATAGTTTATATGACGTTTCTATATTAATCGTCAAATGGGGATAACGATATTCCGTAGTTTAAAGGAAAAATTCTCTGTGAAAATTACGGATAATGGATTAGAACGAAATAAATTATTATTTAAGAATTATATTAAATTGATAAAACTCATCTCAAGAAAGGATGATTACAAGTTATATAAGAAAGTGTAGAATTTATATAGAATATGTATAAAGATATTTAATTATTTTTTACTGATGAAAGTGATGAAATTTAGTTTCGAAATATTATTTAAATTGTATAATCATTCGAATATTCGAAACATAGAATACATCATGTTCTTTTTACAGTTTGATTAAAATCGAGATTGAGATTTTAATGATTTAAATTAAATATAAGAAAGTATGCAAAAGCATTCTCTAAATTGCATATAAAAGATTCAAGTGTTTCATTCAAGCAAGCGAATTATAAAATTAAGAAAAAGAGAGTATTTCGAGCGTGCGATTTAAGAGAGAGATGAATGGCTACAAAAAAAAAAAGCGTGATATACAGTCGAACAAGTGAAACGAAAAGAATTTACTTTCAAACTTGGATATCACACTTTCTCAAAACAATTAAAAATAATTTAAACGCATTCGTCACGATTGCAACCGTGTCAAAATTGGACATATGTCATCGTGACTGTTGATAACCAATGATTGATATTCCAATACATTTGTATATATTATATAAAAAAAAAAAAAAAACACTGTTCTCGAATCGCGAAATAACCAAATGTTATTCACGGGTGAAATATCGTTTAGGCGATTCGAAATTCATTCAGATGGATTTACCATTGAGCTCGTCCATATTCTAATATGGCACTCGTACACTTGTGTAAATCGTACTTTGTCGTATGTCACACTTCCCGTACGATTAAAATACGACTAAAAACTATATCTATCTGCGGCACACAGAGTTACGTCTTTATATCTGATAACGGGGCAGAAATCATAAAGATAAGGGATAATATTTTTGTAACTTATCGCCCACTTGTCATAAATAAGTTTGCCTTAATACACGCCAAATGGTTAATCAGATCGTTTCTTTCCTTCATATATAATAATGCGTGATTTTTGTCGTTGATTTGCACGTGATTAAGTTGAGACGATGACGTGATGAACAAGTAAAATCGATTTTTGATCGATATACGTGTGAAGAAACAATAAAAAATTAGATCATAACGAGATATGACTGTTAAATATTATGTTGTAACAGAATAATTATACGGAACGGAATTTTGTACATATTTGTTCTATGAAAATATAGTTTATTAATAGAAGTTCAGATGCACGAGATTTTCTTTCCTTATCACAAAGAAGAAGAAGATAAATGATTATAAGAAATTCTGTTCCGAAAATATGAAAGATTTTTGTCACGCTTGTATTAAACATGTGGAAGCAATTTTTCAAAATCATTTAGAAAGATAAATATTCGTATCGTTTAAATTTATTATTACTAATTTAAGAATGATTCGAATAAATAATTTTAGTTATAATTTGACTATACACAAATAAACAGATAAAAATAACATCATATCTATTCCGCTATGTGCAACATCATGACGTGCATAATTATGAAAATCCGACACATGTTTTACGATGAAGGTTGAAATAAAGATAAAGATCTGGAATTAATAAAAAAAAAACAAAAAAAAAAAGAAGGAAAAAGATTCCTCTTCTTATTAACCGTTAACAGATACTTCTTGATTTTATTCGATATTACGATATCGTTTAATATAACATGTACTATAATTATGTACTATAGTATAATAATTATATATTATAATTATAATTTTCTTGAATATCGATAATTTAATGTTGATTATATATTAATTACATCTTTTAAGGAGAAATTGCAAGTTTCATTTATAATCGTATCTTGTGTCTTTGAATGAGGAAAAAATTTTTTATAAATTTCATTTTGTTATTTTTATATCTCTAAATGCGAAATAAACTTTTTCTAAATAAAATCTTAGAATTGAATTATCCTAGAATTGTATACATCGTTTTAAAAAGAGGAAAAAAAAAAAAAGAAAAAAACAATGGGCATCCGCGGTACCATAAGTTGGACGTGTGAATTTTCCCAACAGTAAAATCGGACTGCGCCAGTCAGACGTGTCTTCTGTCACGGTTTTATCTCCAATTCTTCCTGCGACTGAGCCGTTATTTTCGCCACACCGCAAACTCATTAATTTTTTGAATGAGAAAGAAAATATTTAGTTTATACATCAGCAATATTTTTTTTTTATAGAAAGGAGATAAAACATAAACTTAATTATGCAATCTAATTACGTAAGAAGAATTATCGTATAGATGGGTATGGATTTGAAGAACATATATAAGATCTTTGCCTTGATATTTTTAAAAACTAATCTTCTTTCTTATTAATTGTTTCGTTCTAATTATATCTCTAAGTGTATTGAAGATTAATTAATTCAATGAATTCAATGAATAAATTTCGAAAAAAACAAAAATTATTAATACCACGATTCTTTATATTCTTCACACAGATTTAATAAGGACTTAATAATCATTTAAATAACTGTTCAATTGCAATCGATATGCATTGTATCTCTATTAATATATCTCGACAAGTTTTACAATTATGGTTTTTGTCGCAAAAATTGTCGCAAAAATGGTCGATTATAAAGATCTTATGATTAATTCATTGCATCTTATTTGCAAGACATTAGAATGAATAAATAAAAAAATATTGGACTATTATTTAAGAAAGGAAATAAAAAGAAAGAGAGCATAAAACAAATTAAATTTCTTATCAACTTGAATCAATGAAAAAGGTGTTAAATCAGATTTCTAAAAATCAAGTTTTTTTTTTCTAATGAACGATGTTATTAAGAATTTCCAAAAAAACGAATTAATTTAAATATTTTAAATTAATGTATACGTTTAACACGGAAATTATAATATCTCGTCTCCATCTGATAATTTTGATTATTTTTAATTGTCGTAACTTCAAATTACATGATATATGAGATGATTTATCAAAAAGTACAGTTCTATGATATTGGACGAAATATTAAATTAATATATCATGATAATTAAAATATTATGGTATCCTCATATTATAAAACTATTGCGGTATTATAATATTTTGATATTATAAAAGTATAAAATATGAATATTATATCGTAGCAAAAGAAATATATGAAGAAGGAATAATGATTTGAAAAATGAAAAATAATAAATCAATTTATTTGAAAATAAATACAATTTATTCTGTCAAATGTTTAAATTAATAATTGTTGAATAATTAGCAATCTTATTTTGGCAATCTTATTTTAATTGATTCTAATAATTGTGATGTTGCAAAATGTATATTACTACGTATAAAAATAGAAAACTTATCTATTTAATAGATAATGAACAATAATACTAATGTTATTTTAGAAAGTCATTAAATTATCATAGGGATATTACTGATTAGACTGCGGTGTAATATTAAATTAATATCCCCTATTTTTGCTAGCTATTCGGTTGATAACACAACAATGGCTCGGCGCTGGGAGCGATGCAAGATAAAACCTTGAGTAATTGCGCAATGTATAAGCAACCGTGATAGATTGAAATGAATGAAGTGCGTTTATAATAACGACAGCGGTATATAGTAGACTTACGAGTGATTTTGAACGTGGAAATTGTAACAGTACTATAACTATTAGGATAATACTAGAAGTATAAGTTTTATATTTGAATGATGAATTTCAAATCTATTAAAAACATGGAATAAAATTAATCAAGAGATTTGTAATCAACAACGCATAACGATAATTACTAGAAAAAAAAATGTTATTTCCATATGATCACGATGTATTTATAATATTAATCATATACATAATTAATTCACATACATAATTAATCACGAACCGATTTACATATAAAATAAGTTACACATTGCAAATATATCCAATTATATACAAATTGTATAAATTTATCCGTACAGTTTTTTCCCTCAAATAATAACGAATCAATTGGAAAACGATTAATTATTAAATGTAAACTTAAAAATCTTAAAAGCTAATAGGTTAAATTCGCAAACGTCGCAAAAAAGATTAAAGAATTTGCGTTTTTCATTATTCCAGCAGGAATATATCATGTAATAGTACACGTGCGCGCAGGAAACGTGGTTCGTGAACGTGAGAAATATGAGTGAAATGCAAAGTCTACGAGCCGAATCAGCGTTTGTATTTGCATCGAAATTTTCTTCTTTCTTCGTTTAAGTATCCATTACGCGACATGTTCACATGATCGATATGATTGCGTGCCGACAATCATATGCAAAATTTTCATCAATATGAATCCAATAGCTTATCTACTAGTTTCTATCACACAAACGATAAAGCGAAATGACACGAGGATGAAACGGAACGAAATATGACAAGATAAATTACATAACGTTTGAGACGATAATGGTCATGAAACACATTGGAATCGAGATTCCCCCAACACTTGCAATTTCTAAATGACGCATGCAATGATCACGTTGACCGAGAAAATTCCCTCATGCATGTATAAATTAAATACGCTATTGCGAAGCTAATTTCTAACTAATATCGGATACCTGGTATTATTACGTTGGGAAACATTTCTCGTCAATTCTTGTCAACACACGTCCCCATTAAAGTTTTCGATATATAAATTTATTTTTCTTTAAATCGTGCGACGTTCAACATATTAACAAGAATATATCCAGAGGTACAGTTAATCGAATCAACGTAAGATGTTTACTGGATCGTTCCGCACGACAAATAAACATCCATCTTATTTTCGTTTCTGGAACGAGAACACTCCACATACATTTAGCATTCGCATTATCGTTTTAAGTGGAGGAATTTCGAATTAAATCGATTACGCGTAGACACACTGTTCATAAAAATAAGAAAGAGAAAAAAAAATATTCGTATACCTTTTTTCCAATAATAACAAAAGAATATTTCGTTCCTTCGACATCTGCAAACTCACCGCGAGACACTGGGATTTTAAATGAAGAAATTTAGAATTAAATCGACCACGTGTACAAGTGACTCTGTTGTTTAGACTCCGATACAAGGAAAATGTCGGATTTTCACTCGTTCGATATCCACGAATAATCGTCATCGAACGTTCTTTCGAGTGAAACAATTTCGAGTTATTAATCGGCCAACACGTGCAAACACAACGAAGTTCCTTGAAAATCAGGAGAGTGAAAAAAAAAAAAAAAAATTGAATTTTCGTATCACTTCTTCGTATCTCGTATCTCGCGCACAGTTTCGTGTTTCACGAAACTTCCCGGACGAGGCAGATCGATCCGCGTGCACACTTTCTCGCGTTTCGCGAGCGAAGCGTTATCGCGCGTTGTGCGCCGCTCGCGCGAGCGTGACGTTTCAACGTTCCTCTATATTTAATACACACGATCCCCCGCCATAAATTATTCATGTAACGTTTCCCTGCATAGAGTGCCGTTTTCGACCGACGATTTCTGTCGATCGTTGCGTCAACGGCGTTTGCAACTGTTACATGGTTACCGGCCGGTTACATGGATTAACCTTAACCCAATTTCACACTTTATACCATTCTGCTCGCTCTGAAAGAAAAGCAAACGATCGAATTTGCTTAGATACACGGCGAATTGGTGGCCCGTTCAATTGGAAAATGGACAAGCTTTTTCAACGATTTGTTGATACTTGTTGATGTTGAGAGAAGTGGAATGAACTTGAGAAATATTTGGATTTTATGTATGGACGTGTGTTCAGATTGTTAGATTTTTTTTCTTTTTTTTTTACGTAAATCAAACGAGATTTTAACTTAAGATTTTAACTAAGATTTTGAATTAAAATTGTATAACTTACAATATTTTTAGTTACTTTTTTATTTTGTTTGATTTGTGTTTTATACTGATTGAAACGATCGGAAGATTAGCATATTTTTCATATTTAGTTAAGAAGTTATCCTCCAGAATTAATTAAAGAAGTAAATAAATAATTAAGTATATATTTACATGTATAATCTTCTATTGCATATTCAAGAGTAATAATATGAATAGCCAAGGACATTTTTTATTATGACATATTTTATTCGCAATCTTTAAAAAACAAAATCTTTACGTGTAGCTGTAAACATTATTTCTAATTCTTTCTAATTCCTATTCTATTTTTCTATATTATATTAATGAATATAAATAATTTATATTATTTATTTTTATTTTTTTTTCAAAAACTATGTTTTTCGTTCATGTTAATTATTCGATGTAATTATTATTGAAAAAAATGAAGAATCTTTCTTGAGTGGAAACGATTGATACAACTATCGATTAAATTAAATATGGATGCCTGGAAGGAATATTAATGCCTTCGCAATTTTCGTATTTTTCCTAATACTGAATTTCTATTATATTTCATCGACATCAATAGATATGAACTTAAATTGTTTCTTTGTTTTATCAATAATTCAAAATGAATGATGATAGTAATTTTTTTTAGATCCATTTTTAAAAAATAAAATTCATCATTTTTGCGGATAAAAAAATTGTATATAAATATTTTATCACGCTATTTCTTCGATTTTTCAATTATTTAACATAATTATTCGCAATTTTTCATTAGCATTGTTACCATTTTAATTAAAAATTCACGATAGATTGCGATTATAATCACCGATTATATGTCATTTGATAAATGATTAATGGTGATGCTAATCAATAATTATCAACATTGCTTTTTTATTCCACGTATAAATTGCTTGATTGCAAGCAATTTAAAGTTGATAAAACTAGCGATTATGCCGGTGAAATGTCAGATTGGCCTTATTATAAAACTCTTTACTTTTTCTCAGAATTAACACAATTCGCGCAACTTCACGCTCGATGAGATCATTTCTGAAAACTGTTTAAATTTCATCAAAAACACGATTTCGAATAAAGTCACGCCGCTCTTCTAAATATTGATACCGGTTTCATAAAATTGATACAACTTCCGAACGTTACGATTCATCGTATTCAAATAATCACGGATTATCAATTACAACTATGTTCCACGTGTTTGATCGTGATTAAATATTTACGAACAACCATAAATATTTCCTTCAACGAATCGATTCATTTATAAGAAACAGACGCCGTATAAAAAAAAAAATTGTATCGCAATTGTTACTCAATGATATTATAAAAAGCTTATTGAAAGATAATCGTGCAAACAAACATTTTTTCGATCACTGAATTATCAATGCTCGTCACTATGTAATGATAGTAAATATAAGGAATTCTTTGAACTTTGATCCTCGTCACGTAATGCAAAACAAACACAATCTCACATAATATTTGCTATAAGATTCACAAGTGCATATGACTGTGCCTAAAGGTATGAAGTATCTTGAAAGTATATTAAAAAATATGTGGCGAATAGGAAGCGTGGAATTCCGGAATCAAATTGTTATCAATGATATTCTTCCACTATAACAACTTATAATCATTAGAATAATTGATGATTACAAGTAAATATGGAAAATATAAATATAAAAAATGTACAGAATTACAGAATACAGAAAAAATATTTTCAATATTATTCCTAATTTCTAGTAAATAATGAGCAATAGTTGTGTTATACAATAGTTTCTAATTGTATGTACAATTGATTACACTTTTTTCTTAATCGCTTAAAAATAGCATAATTATTTCGATAAGTTTATCAACAAATAACTCAAAATGATAACTTAATAATAACATTAAAATTTTTTGAAACGTAGTTAGTTAAAAATTATAACTTCTATTAACTTTTCGAACTTTTTTTTTGCAATATCATTGATAATTTATGTTTTTTGTTTTTAAAGAATAATATTTCTTAATAATAATTTTGAATGAAAAAGGCTTTAAATGAAAATTAATCGATAAAGGTTATCATTTCCAATGTTAATTATTTATATAATATTCATAAAGTTAAAAATTTTGTTTTTCCAATTACATTCATGAATTTGCATGATGTAATGCAACAATCGCGTAACACGAAGAGGAAAAATTGATGATTAAATTTGATTAGATTCATCGCCCTGCGAACTGACCTTACTCTAGCTGGGGATGACGAAAAGAAGCAAAGAGGAAAAAAGAATATTTATACTCAGAAGCATCGTAAGCAATGAGCTTACGTCATTAATATCGAGAATTATCGCCAACTCAATAGTCAAGATCATGGCTCTCGTGAAATCAATCTCTCGAGTCTCGATTTCGTGCCAATTGACATTTCTCAAGGATCAAGAAAATCACAAGAGGATTGAATGAAAGATAGTATCATCATCACAAGTATCGCTCTTAACTGATTAAATCATGATATTATAATAGCACTTATATTAAAATGCTATAGTGAAATATGTTTAGAGTCTGATATCTTAGAATCTGAAATGTTTTATATATATATGTATAGCAATACTAAAGGATAACAAGTTGTATAGTATAACTAATAATAATTTCTTTTCATTTTTTAACTGATTGAAAATGAATGATTTAAAAAGTCATTCATTTTTACTTTTAATTTTAATTATGAGATAACAATGTCTTTGTATTTTTGTATACTAGAGAAATAAGTAATAGAAATAAATAATGTGAATTATTTTATAATCATATATTTTCTTCTGATTTTGATATATTATATTTTAATAAAATTGAGATAAAAGAAAATAAAATAAAACAAAATAAACAATTTAGGATTGAAAGAAATAAATACAATAAATATTTAGAAAATAGAAATAAATATTTGTTAAAGAGATTTCGTGTATCTTGGTATTTTCTTTTTCATTAATCATTGAAAAAAACATGTACCAGCTTTTTTATTATATAGCTTTTTTTTAATAAAGTTTCCTTCATTCATACAGCTTTACATATAATAACGCAAAAAATGTTTCACATGCGTTGATAAAAGAATTGGAAGGATTTGATCTTTAGCTAAGAATAAACAAAATATTAAAAAATAAAATTTTTATTATGCGGTTGATTTATTTCACATTAAAAATGTGACATTGGCAGACACTTTATTGAGCGATGAAGTCACATGAGCGGATGATTCTCTAATTATTTTAAGCAGCATACGTGCACGTTAATTCATTGGTGAATAGCTCAAACCCTGATTGAATAGAAATTACTTCATTTCTGTTTTAACTCAAGTAAGGTCATTTTTTTCTTGTTATGCAAATTAACGTATTTATCGTAATATGTATCTTAGATTAAGATTTAAAGATTATAACAAAATTTTATACAATTATATAATACTATACAATATCAAATTTTACACGATTGACCTATATTACTCACAATTATATAGTATTTATTTTAGTAATTATAAATAATATCAATACGATATGTTTTGTTTCTATCCAAGCCAATAATAAAACAAAAAAAACGAAGAGAAATATTATTTAAATCGATTATTTGGCGACAAAGAATTTCAACTCTGTCGCGTCAAAAAACAACAATTGCTTATCTTGAAATGGAAATTTCTGTTAAAGACATTTTTTCAGTCGTATTTAGATATTGTATCTTTCAAGATGATTTTCGTCAACGCGAAATATATACTTAAGGCTTCTTTTTATGGAAATAAAAATAGAAAGAAGCCTTGAGAAAGAAGAAAAAGAAAAAAGAGAAGAACAAATAAAATAAACATTCTTTGTTTTTTGGATAAATAAAAATTTGAATGCAAATTGTTGAGATAAGATTTTTTGACAAATTTTTATCTGATTTTTTCAAAACAAGTTAAACAAATTTGAGTTATAATAAAGAGCAAATATTGTCTTGGAATTTTTAATATTGTCATTATTTAACCTAATTTTAAATGATGAATATAATCTTATCTAATCGATACTTTTTATTTTCGAATATAATTAATTAGATATATCAACAAATACAAACATTGTTTTACAATATGACAATCAATGTCTTCAATTATGAAACATAATTATTAATTAAATGAGTAAACAATATTTTAAATATATTATTTTGAAATTTTTTAACTTTTAATATTTAAAATGTTCAATACACATTTATGTAATAATTAATTTTTGAATATTAAATATGGAATATGCATTAATTTACATTTGTCGAGACTAATTCTTTTTATTCCTTTTTTTAAATAATATTTAAAAAAAATGAAAAAATTTAAAAAATTATTGTCTTCATTTTAAATTTAATGTAAGATTAAATTAATTTTTCTATCTATGATTATTTCATCATTATTTTTAAATTTTGTTAATATTTCAGAAATGATATCGAATATACCTGCTATAGTATTTGATAAATAATGACAATCTATACATATGTACATAACTTTGAAATTATAGACTCAAACTAAACGTAAAACGTTCATATATTTATACAACGAAAGTGTTGGCTATCAAACAAACCTTAGTTGCCGAGGTTGTTAAATTCGATACTGCTTTACTATCGATCCTTTACTATTCTTACTATCTGTTTCATTTCAGCACGCACTAATGAAAAAATTTATTAAAATAACTTAAAATAATTAATTATTTAATTATATTTTATTTATTATATTTTCATATAATTATCATAATGAAATTTTTTATAAAAATAATTTTAATAATAAACATATTGATTCTTTTAAAAATTGTAACTCATAAACTATAAGAATTGTACAAGTTTAAAAAAAAAAAATTATTTTAAAAATGTGCAATATTTAAAATTTCCATTTTAAATATTTTCATCTTTATAACATTAAACGATATTTAAAAAGTTATAATTTAATATA